CACGAAGCTGAAAATAGGTCTGGGGACGGGAGGTTGCATGACAGTTCTCCAAAACGTGCTAAGGAAACAGTCACCCCACCCCCCCACCCACAGACCCATTACCCAGGGTAGCCTAATAATCCTCATTGTAATCGTAATGGTAGGATTAGTATCTGGTATAGGCGCCACAGAAAAGCACGATGCAGAAAACACGTCTCGGGATAAGGGGTCCTATGACAGTTGTACAAGGCTTTCTAGGGAAACAGTCATCTATCCACCCAACCAGAGACCTGTTTCCAGGACCAATCCAATTTCTACGAATCAACCATTGCCCTACACCCTTTAAACCCATAAACAATTAGAACTTAAAACCCTTTAAACCCTAGCCTATACCCCTAAAACCCCGAACCTCTCAAACGCTAAACCTGGACCTGAAAAATCCTAAAGTCCTTAAACCCAAATCCATAAACCCTTGACTCAACCTCTTAACGAAGATTATCAACGTGAGCCTCCAATTCAGCAGGATCACGCTTGATGCGCTTGTCTGGGCAATAGTCGCTCGCCTGCCCGCAAAACGCAACAGCTGCTGAGTATTCCAAACGTTACAACCATAGCAGTTGCGCAGCACTGGAAATAATGGAAATAGTGGAAGTGCTTCAGAATATTTCAGAATCATCAAAATGTTCAGAGTCCTTTTCCCCCATTAGGTTCCCATGGTGCGATGTTCGCGAATTTCGCGATCACAGCCGATTCGCCGGCAGACTGAAACATCCCAAACGCAGCACTTTATGCTCGCGTTGACATGGGCAGCTCTCGCCTCTACACATGCTACGCCTGGAAGGCCTTCTTCCAAATGTTCAGCAAAGCCCTGCTAAATGCCGCAGGGTAAGACGCGGAGCTGTGCAAGTCACGGCCTCCAACTCCAACGCAGTAATTACCCTAGATCCATGATGTTTCTGACACACATGACACATGGCATTCTACGCTGTGCGGCACAAGCAGGATTGCAAGGATCAAGGGCAAGATGGGCAAGCCTCCAGACACTGAAACCTTCTTGCCATCTGCTGCGACCTATTGCGACCTTCTTCTGCACGTAAATCTTCTTTGTCTTGCGACGCGACTGCCGCTGCTCCTTTGTGGGTGAAGGGGTCAAGGAGAAGGATCAAAAGAAACCATGAGCTTCAGCATCCGAGTGCATATGGAAGAGACACAACTACACAGACTCGTCTCTGACCCGCTGTCCATCTTGCATGACAAATCTGAGCGCTCAGCGAAGCGGGCTTCATACTTCGCCCGAGCTTCCTTGGTCATAACTCGACGCATCTTCACCAGGCCGGGCAAAGTCCCGCGAAGTTGAGTTGGTTTCAACATATCGTGCCCGAAGAAGGCTTGCCTAAGCAGGAACCAAGGCACACAATTTCCACAAGATCCACAAGACGCACATGATGCACGCGTGCTATCTGCGCACATCCAAGATATCCAAGGATCCATGTTGTCACCGTAGATGCACCCATAGCGGTCAGCAGAGTAACCATGAAACTCAGTCGCCATAACCACGACGAGCTAGGCTGCTCGATCACGAAATAAAAGTGTTTCCCACAGGTCAGCAGGATTGTGAACAGGCAAGCCTGCAGCCAAGTGAGGAATGTGATTAGTGGGACATGTAAAGACTGTG